TTAGCACAATCAGTGGATTTCAATCAGTTCCAAGAGGACAAGCTGCATTACTGCATTAACTAAACCATTGGAAACTTTTACAACTTTCAGTTTTGAACAGACTCATTGCACTGGTATTTCCTTACCTCTGCTGGTTTTTATATCAGCCGACCTCTCATTTTCCTTGCCTTTTGCTATAAAAAAAAAAAAAAAAAAGCAAACAGTTAGTTCCAATCTTAATATTGACTGACATCACCTGTGGGGGAAAAAAAGTTATTTATATTTACAGTATTTAGAAATATCCAACAAGCCAGGAGAGTCAGTGTAATATGAAATCAAAGGTGAGTTCAGCTGTGAATGGACACAGACATATCTAAGGAGGTGTCCTTTTTGGTGGGTGCTGGCCAGTCGTTTAGGGGTCCATGCCACATACAGAAGGCCTAGGTTTGGATTCCCATCACCAGCAAAGTAATCATATCACCACTGGGTCCATCAGCAAGGCCCTTATCCCAAAAACCACTTGGGGATGCTGGCTGACTCTGCTCTCTAAGCCCAACCTTTCCTCACATGGATGGTGTTTTGGACAAAGGACTCTGCTCAGTGAGTAAATTATAAGTGGCTTTGTTTCTCTTGTTAAAGCACCGGGTGCTGGCAAACTGCAGCTATCTAGGGGCTCCATCAGTGAACAATCTGGATCCCTCGCACATCTGGGAGAATGAACACAGGCTAGCCTGCTCCCAATTCTGTCCTTGGAAAATCTGCCTGGTCCTGGCCAAATGAGTATTGGGCAGCTGCTGAATCTCACAGTGCAACCATGTACTTGTTTGGGCTGTTCTTAGGGTAACATATGTTTGTGCGGATGCTTGGAATATGCATGGCTGAATAACATCACCATTTCAACCATATCGCTCTGCAGCCATTGTCAGACTAAATATGAGTGAATCTCGCATTTTAATTACTAATTTTTGGTTATCAATACAACGTATTTATCTAACCTGAACGTATCTGGAATGAACAACAGACACGAACTTCCCACTATGCTATCATACAAAGAAACTGGCTCCTCTTAACTTACCACCATTTTCAAAGATCAGATTAGACATGCTGGTCTACTTTACTTTGTAAAACAGTAGGCAGCTACAACACTGTACTGAGCGGTGATCACTAACGGGGATATTCAAACGTTGGGCAGTTCTGGGCATCGCGAGGCCTATGATGAATAACCACTACAGCGCGGTAAGTCACTGCATTACATTACATTCTTGTACTATTTAATGCCGTGAAAATTTAACACTGCACTGGCAATTTATAAGCAGAATCAATGTTAGCAAAGCTGACCTATTAACCGTATAGAGAAAAACGTGCTTTTTATATTTTACATACTACTCTAATTTTAGGTCATGTCGGCTGACTTCGGTTTTATGTATTCATACAGCAAACGGTGGCCGAAATCTTACACCAACATAAATTATGTTAGGCGTGCTTTACAAATCCACAACCGCACACTTTCTCAATTTGTGATTTTAAAAAAACAGCTGGAGGCTGAAATAGAAAGACGATCACGACGATGAGCAAACTTAAAGGCGAGTCAGGTAACCGTCACATCATGCGTGCAGTCTAGGGTGCATCAGGCACCAGCAGTCATTCGCGTTAATGCATTGAATTATGAATTTTAATAAAGTAAAAGTTTATCTATTTAATGCGAGGGTTAATTTAATCACCAACACAGACCACGAACGGAACGCTGCTGCAATGGCATCTGATATTAAATGACACAGAGCTACAAATGAGATAAATAGCTACTAAAGTACTGGTCTTTTCTACATAACTGCGCAACAACGTGATAATTACTATCGGGCGATTGGTAGAATTTCAATAACTTGCATTAAATATATTATTATTTAGATACAGCTGACGGAAATGTATTTGGCCACAATGCAAACAAATGTTTCTTAGGTTCCAGCGCAAGCAGACAAACTAACATTGAGGTACCTTAACTCGAGTCACTTGTAAGGCGTTTAATGAGCTGTTATCTGGTATAGCGACGTATTTTTAATGATACAATACTGCAATGACTGCAGTGAAAACCCCTTAATTTAAAAACGCAGCGCTACATACAATCACGTCTAATAAAACAAGTATCACTAGTCGAGCGGATTTGGTAAATGCTAAAGTGCTTCTAAATATTTGCATCTATCAGCTGATATGGCCACTATGGCTGTACCAGAAACTAAAACTAAACGATGCGCTCCGATTGCACAATTTTGGACCTATTTCATGTTTCTGAAGTTTAGACGTGACGGTATTAACAAAAATCAAGCTCAGAGGCCTTCATATCCAGCTAGAGCTGTCAAGCTGGTGTCTCACCATACATTCCCAACAGGCTCCCTGCTAATATCCCCGCTCCAATACCCACTTCCTTACCTTTCCTCCGAAAAAACGACATGGTTGTTTTCGTGCTCCGATTTTGTCCCTCAGCTCAGTGAACGCATCCCGTGAATTCCAAGCTCCCTTCATTCATAGCTTGCTTCTCTCGTTAACCCTACAAGCTGTTAGGCATAATTAATCCAGAAGCCGCAGACTGCTACAGTACAGACTTCCTTCTTCCCCTTTAGCTAGAACGGCCCGCCATATTGTCAATAAATAGCTCACTTCCGGTCCATAAAATATGCATTATGGGTAACGCATGCTGTTCATGAACTGCGCCCTTCATTTAACTGATACTGGATCTGTTAGACATCCCACATCGTGTGAATCAATCATTGGTTATGAGAGGCAAACTGATTCTGCGTCAGTCTTAAAAGAGTTCCCGTGTCCCCGGAGCCATTTCAAATATGTGGTGGTATGATATTCAAAACTGGTTTAAAAGAGGGATGACATAGAAGAGCGTGGAATATTTTTTGTTTTACGACACCTTTTACTTATTGAACTGCATAATCATTTGAATTTCATCATTGTTGAAGACCTTCAGTTTCAATTCTTTTTATTGAAGAAGTTTCCCTCTGTCTTGGAAAAGTAAAAATTTTCAAATGTTGTCCACTGATATGTCTATGAATTAAAAACCATTGTAAAGATAATATATATATCCTTATTTTAAAATGTCATTAATATTCAGTACGTGTCATATACTGCATGGTGGATCAGTGCATATTCTGGGTCTGAGTCTAGAATGTGCGCTCACTTAGGTTTTCACCAAAAACATATAGTTTAGCTGGACTAATGTCACTAAATTGCTTGTAATATGATTGTGTGCCCTGTACTATGTTGGGTAGGATCCAGAGTCACTGTAACTCTCTGGTGGATACGCAACTTTCTCATTTTTCATGAAGAAGTAAGAACTGAAAATTTTCATCACCCTGAGGCCTTGTTTGTTACCTTCTGTGGATATGAAAAACAAGCCACTTGTCCATAACAGGGCAATCCGTGAAGCTAAAAAAAAATACTGAACTGAAGAGTATAATCCATATTAGTGCTTCTGACACATTGCTGGGTTTCTTCTGGAAGAGATCCAGAGCACAACAAGATTCATCTGATACTGTGGGTTTTCTAAAGTGTACACAAAATCTTACAATGTAATATTTCTTTATAAAAATTAATAGACAGCACATTTGAATGATAATGAATGTAGGAAGATGTCTGCTAAAAAACTATAATATAAAACAATAGATAACGTGTTTATAAAGGCTCTGAACCTAACTTGAGGATATTAACAGAAGCTACAGAGTAGCTGTGTGTTTACGGACATTTCTGATTCACATTCCACAACAGCGTGTGGTGTTAAGCACTTTTTCTGTCAAATTGACAAATCGAACTACACAGGAGATGAAATATTTAAAGGAGATTAAATATTTAAAATAAAACTGATATGAAGTTAACTGATACTATTTCCCATGGTTTTTCTTTCAATAAAAATTAAAGCTAAATGTTGAATATTACTTCAAGTTTATCCAGGAAATAAATAAAAAAACAAGACAAAAACCTCTGGCGTAATTTCAGGTGACAGCACACTAATAAATATCTACTTGTTGAGTCAACATACAAACTTGATATGAATATCAACTGAATTTTAATTACCTTAACATGTTACAAATAAACAGATTTTAATAATGGCTTACAGATGCTTCCTTTTTTTTTTTTTAAATCAAATCATAAACATCAATAATTATATTGCTGTAGAATAATTATTAGTGCACAATGGGCATTGCAGAGCAGATCCACTAAAATGTGTCACAAATTGCACAAGAAATCTTGTGAGGTGAGGAGTCCTAGATTTCAGATAGACTATGAAGCATAACTTAGAAGAGGGCTCATTCCAAAAGACCTTAACTGCCAAGCTGGTAACCAAACGCTTGGCATATTTTTAAAATCATGGCTTGTTAACAGCTGTAGTTATAATTCTGTCATTTGGCATTAGGTTTTCCTGCACACAGCCAAATGCCTGGCAGACAAGGCATCACACAGAGCTCCACAGCATCTGACAAATCGCAATAGCAAGAAAACATAGAGCATTTTCCTCAAGAATGTTTTCTTCCATGCCCTGACCTTTAGTTTGGAGTCAATTTGACAGGCAGTATCCATGCAGTGAAAAAATCAGTCAAGGTCATGCGGCAGTTCCTGTCTCCCTGTGGAAACTGAAGTTGCTCGACGCCTAGAACATTAGAGTCTTTGCCAAGCTTTGCACCAGGTCAATATATGCACATGGCTTCTTGCTACTCAGGACACTTAATGTTGGCTGTTAATTTTATCCAGTTAGGTTTCCACCAATACAGGGGTTTTTTTTTTAAATCACGTCTTGATGTACATTTCCTGAGGTTTCATATCATTG